CGGCCCGGCCCCCGGCCCGGCCCCGCGAGGGCGGGCGGCGCAGAGCCCGCGCCCGGCGGCGAGATGCGGAGGGAGAGGAGCCGCCGCCCCGGGACCTGCCCGCTGCTGGGGGCCCATGGCGGGGCCCTCGCGTTCCCGTTCGTGCCCTCGGTCCGTACCTCTGCCGGGAGCATCTTCCCGGCCCCCGCATGTCCTTTTCCCGTCCGCGCCGCGGGCCGGCCAGCTGCCCGGGCCAGCCTGATGTGCCGAGGCACAACTGGCTCCAAAGTGTCATCTTATTCTGGAGCCTGCGGAGTAAAAGAGTAGGGTATAATGAGTAAAATGTGTCTACCAAAAACAGTCCAGTCCTAAGTATTTCCTGCAAGTGAATTATTACAACGGCCACCAATATAAATTCCAAGGTTAGTGGCAGCCTAAGGCAGCTTCAGCCAGCTCCAAATGCCTGTGGATATGCTGGAGAGGCTGTCGGCGATGGGAAGGTCCCGCGTCCCCAGAAAGAAACTGTTGTCAGAACCCTAACCCTAACCCTAACCCTGTTGTCAGTTTCTTTCTAGTCTCCCAGCCACGTCATCTCAGATTTCTTCGGTGCCACAGAAGTTTTCATTTTGGACACACCATAAATCTTGGTTTCCTAGTACAATAGCTTGATTTTTGCATGTGAACTCCTTGGACTGCACAGTGCAGTGAACAGAGAGTGCTGAGAGTAGTCTGGAATTAATTAATAGCTTAGCCATGCTGCATCCCAGTCCAGGAAACAGAGCACACGAAACAGCCCTGCATTGGAAGGGACCACGTGCTCAGACCACTTACTGCTCCTGTCCACCTTTGCGGCTTCTACAGATTCCCGTTGCGTTCAGTGTCTCAGATCAGCTTCATAGTGTTGCCATTGACAACGTACAGGTGACAAGAGGATAATTCAGACCACATCAGTGGTATTTAGCATTTTAACTTTCTTAGCTTTGAGGAGCAGGCATTTCTTGTGGGGAGATATTAAATATTTTCTTTGGTGGTTTATTGTTAATTGCCTATTGAACAGCGGGAGGAGGCAAATGTAGAGGATCTGTTCATGTCGGTGTTCTTGACCTGTTTGGAAAGGGGCAGGGAGAGGGAGAGTGCTCCTTTTTGGGGTGGGGGGGTGTATGGAAATCTAAGACTAGTAATTAAGGGTCTTGGCTGGAACATCAAATCAGACTCACTGAAAACTTTTCAAAATGACCCAAGGTCTTTTCACAAAGGAATTTAGTCATGTAACTCCTGAGGAAATGAAATAGAAACCAGATACTTAAATATCTCTGCAAATCTGGGCCACAAACCAATTTTCTGAATAATCTAAACGGAGGTTAATTGTCTAAATACTTTGGGGGAGGTGGATCTAAAGAGCTAAATATCCCCTTTTTCAGTGTAATAAGGGCCATGGTGCCAGATCCTGGCCTGCAGGCAAGACCTCCCCATGTTGCCCTGGTCACAGTGCTGTAAAGAAGCCTGAGATGGGTGGGACATTTTGCAGGACACGGTGCCACGCGTTGCCTGACCACGTACTGAGAGGCTGCAGCACATGCTTATTCAGTAGGGCTGCTGCGACCGCACGGTTTGCTTGAGCTCCTTAGCCTTGCCGGAGGGCAGCAAGCTGCGGTGCTGTGCTAGCAGCTGGATGTGCTTCCTGACGTGACCCCTGCATCTAGAGCTGGATGCTTTTCCTCTCAGTGCCACTTGCTCTGCTCGGTGTAGTTTCCAGTGCATTTCTGAAGCGGGAAGAAAGCTCAGCCTGATTTGCAATTATTGCTTCTGTTTGCAAGCTTGCTTCTGGGGACAAAGAATGGTATGAATAACTATGAATAGCATCTTGTTGAGCCAGACTGGTGCACAATGCTGTCATGTTAGTTAAAACATGTCCTTTGCACTGTGACCCCCTCCTCATAGTTAAGGTGAAGCCCAAAGAGCTGATATTTCTGCTGGGCAAAGTAATCCAGCTAAAACATATCTTCTCCTGAACACATATAGTACTAAATGAACTAGGACTACAATCTTGAGGGGAAAAAAAAAAGGCCTGTTTCGTCTGCCCGGTGAGTTTTTCAGCTTAAGACAAGAGGTGGATGGATAGAGAGGAAAGGCAGAAAAAGAAAGCCAGCAACTGTCCAACTGTTGCTGGGATTCTTGCAGGTTTGAGAATAAGGAAAGATTGAACTGGGAGAATTCTACCTGGGACACACCAGGTAAAAACAACATACACCAGTGAAAGAATTTGCACTACTTAAGTCAGCCTCCATACAAGATCCTAAGGGTGGATTTGAGTGAAAACATCTCCCCATCATGCTGAATATACCCTTGTCAAAGGCAGACATCATCTGAATCAGTGATTCCAGAGAGTAGAATCCATCTGTCTCCTGGTTGAATGAGTTTTGAGACAAAGAGCACATACCTGAAAGCAGCAGAGTAGAAAGCTGGACATGGTTGAGGTTTTTTTTTTTTCCCCCACACACATTTTTTACTCATTTGAAAGCAGTACATTATATTCTGCTTTCTGTGTTTTAGACAGCTGTTATTTTGCTTGTTGATTTACCATTGAATTATTAGACTTCTTTTCCCTTTCCAACAAATCTAGTACTGTGAACAATCTATCAATTAGTGGCAAGGGAAAAAAGAATAGCAAGATGTCCAGCTAATCTGCAAGCTATGATATGAGAAGAAAAGGCAGCCTTCTGAAGCACAGGAGCATAAAGAGCATCAAACAACAATAGAACAAACACAAAATCTATCACCAGCAGGCACAAATCCCAGGAACTGCTGCTCTCTCCTCACGTCGCCGGAAGGCTCGCGGGGCACCCGTGCCGCGGTGCCGTCCATGCCGTTGGGCCCGCCGCGCGTCCCCGGCGGCTGGCGGGAGAGCCGGCCGGATCCGGGCCAGCTCCTCACCGGCAGCGCCTTCCGCAGCCGGGGCGGCCGCAGCCAAGCGCAGATCAGACACAGTCCAACAAGTGGCAGACTGCATACGTATGGTCTAACATGAGTGTATATGTTTATTCATACTATGTTCTTGAAAAACGTAATTTAGCTTATTACTACTATGATCGTGAAAGACATTATTAAGCGTATCAGTAACAAGTTTAATTTCCATGCAAAACTGATTTTTTTTTACTGTGGTACTACTAACGAATTTCCACAGGAGAGAAATTATCCATGCAGCTAGCATGTTAGCAGTATTTAATGCCTACTCTTTTTGTTTGTCATACCTTGTATTAGATTGCTTGGACTTACAAAACCCTGAACTGTCGTAAAAATCTTTTCCACTCACATGAGGTTTTCGAGTATGGAAACTTATGAATGTCAGGACTGAATAACTGGAAGTGTAAAAAACCACAGAGTTATTTTGCTGGGTCAGCTCAGTTTTTAACTTTTTGGCCATTTTCATACATTAAATATATATCAAAGTTTCAAGCTCCGTCTGAGGTCCAAGAGCTTTAGGAAAGACTGAAGAAAGGATTATGGATTTCAAAGCAATTAGAGTAGAATTGTTTAATGACCAGGGATTTGTCAGATCCCACTGAAGTAAATAGGAGTTAAGAACTCTAAAATAATAGTACATGTTTGGGAGAAACCTAACTACAACGAGAGGCATATCAACAAAGTAATTCAGGAGAAGCTTTCCTTGAGTAACTATTCCTGAAAAATGCCATAACCCAATATTCTTCCGGATAACTGTAAAACTTTGTTCCACCTTAATTGAACTTGCTTTGAAAATCAATTAAATCACGAAGTAGTAAGACCTGGTTTTAGGGAAAAAGAAAAGCAGGAGTAGCACATAGAGAGCTGCTTTTGAACAGGTGCTGTCCTGACCTTCACACCTCACCGGAAGCAGAGTAACTTTTAGATGTAGGTGAACACCTTGAGGGGGCTTTTCATGACTTAATTGGTTTGAAGGAGAGATTTACGGTTTGTTTAATTTTATTTTGTTAAAGAAGAAAGGGACTTGTGTTAGTTCTGTCTTCACACCTGTGGAGTTTAGAGTGGAGCTCCACTACTTCATGTTAGGCTCCTCAAGGATCATCACAAACTTTTCTGAAAGTCAGGTTATCATATGGCAGTGACTTGAAATACTGACCCATGAGAACACTGTAAATCCCCATCGCTCTTTTCAGACACAGTCATCATGTGGCAGCTGTGATTTGCTCAGAAAAACAGAATTATGCAAACACAAACTTTTTTGTTTCTAATGGCATGCTACCCAGCAAGACAGCAGCTATGTGTTTGAAATATGTGCTTGCTTTGATCTCATTTTTATTGCTCTGTGGACTATATTTGCCTTTTGAGGTACCCTGAGTCTCAAACAGTAAAGACCTGACTAAGCAACAAGGTCTATTTTTACAGTGTGCCCTGCATCCACTCAGCTAGTGATGACCAGAACAGAGGGAGCAGTGAGTCACCCACCAGGCACAATTAGAGCTGTGGCAGCAAGAAACCAGATGAAGCCTCTAAGATGCATCTGCATTCCAGGCCATGGAAATGCAGCACTTGGGATTTGATTTGAGTTAAGCAAACAGCACAGCCTGGTAGGAGGCCTCTTCTACACATACAATCCTTCCTACATAGAAAAGTTTTGAACAACAAATGCAAATTGTGTGTGTGGGCAAACTGCTGGATTCAAGCACAAACTCCCCTGGTGGCTTAAATGCCACTCAAAGCCACCGGCTCCTTGTAAGGCTTGTGGCTATGAGGTTCTGCAAGTAATGCGTAAACCCATGGCGATAGACATCAATCTATGTTATTCATTGC